TTTATCCCCCAGGCCATTCCTCCTCTCCTTCTCCTTTTCATCAAAATTCGCCCTGCATCCCATTCTATCCATGTTCTTTTCGTTGCTAGACCACATGGAGCTATAACTTGATCATCACTGTTCTTATAATAGGATCCTGGTGTGCAAGACAGAGAAAGCATCTTTTTTTGTTGTTGTTAACAAGGACTTTATTTATTTTTATTTCAGCATATTATGGGGGTACAAATGTTTAGGTTACAGAGAAAGCATCTTAAATGAAATGATGACTCTAACGTTGGGAATCTCAGTTTTTGGGGAAGGCTAGGATGGAAGATACTTGGTGTTGAAGCCTATACGATTAAGAAGCTGTAAGGAATCCTCAAGTCAGTCTCTGTGTTCAGGACTGTCCAGTGGTGCAGAGTCAGGCTTTGCTGGGGATGCGGACAGCAGACGTGGCCCCCGGCCTCAGGAGTTTGCAATCAAGCAGGGAGGCATGGGGGCCTTGGATGCTGGGCACTGGCATCCACCACTCTAAATCATCTCATTTAAGTATGGTTGGTATCATCATTTAACTTTACAGATAAGAAACAAGGCTCAGATAAGTAAACTGTTTTCCCCAGGTTCAGTACAGATAGTGGGTTGTGGAGTCAGAACTTGAAATCAGATCTGGTCTGGTTCTGAAGTTTTTGTTCTTTCCGGCTGTGAGACAAAGTGGCACATGTCAGAAGCCCCGTTTGCTCACTTCTCCGCGCCAGCAGGTTTTCACAAAGCCCCTGCCTCTGTGACGGGCAGCTCTCGGAAAGATGCTTTGAAGACAAAACGGGATAGAGCACACGGCCCCCCACGTCTCCTGCCTGACTCACTATAGTCCTGAAAAGATAAATGACCTCCCGTCCTCGCCTTTTCCTACAGGTAAGATGACATCTGACGGGGTTAGGGATTATGCCTCTGTAATCTATAACCAGGTGTGCTCTTGCACCCAAACCTTCATGCGATTCTGCTTCGGTGTAACTCCTGAGCGAGTTGGATGTGATTTTGCACGGACTGAACCCGGCCATATACAAGCAGTGGGTTGAAATACCGGGCTGGAGCAGCTGGACGGAGCTGCTCCCGGGCTGGAGGCCTTGGTCTCTGGCCCTCAGTAAGACTTCTGAATAAAACTAACTTTCATTCTTTAAAAGGTTGCCTCTCTTCTTTAGTCGACACAGCACCCCATACCGTCGCAGAAGCAGAAGCCGGGCACGTGTGAAGGGGAGAGCGAGGGAACGCTGTGTGCAGCTGGTGGCCACGGGGGAGTTTAGAGGAGGCAGTGGGCCACGCCCTGGGAGGGGGCGAGACAGAGCTTTTTGGGAGAGCTGGGAAGTGGCATTCCAGTGAGGTCAGAAGCCTTGTAGGACAACTTATTTATTCCACAATAGCTGGAAGAAGAGGGGTCTTTGCAGGTGGGGTGACCAGTTTAAGCAAGGATTGGGAGTAGAAATTAAAATGTAGCAGAAGCCGGCGATGGGGAGAGCTTGTTAAAGGAATGAAAGCTGCTCCTCGTGGGCCACCTTCTCTCTGACCTCATCGTCCAGCTGAGGACGGGAGAGCCCCGAAGCAGGAGGGGGGTCTCCTTCTAAGGGGACAGCCCAGCAGGCCCGGCCTTCCCCACGTCTCACCTGCAGCCCTGCCTCGGGAGGACGGGGTTCAGGCCGCAGCACCAAGGCTGGGGGCCTTTGCAGGGAGCAAGGGCTGGGGGGAGCCAAGTGGTTCTCTCTCCCCCTCTTTAGAATCCTGGCCAGTTTCAATTTACACAACACAGCTTCATCCACAGAAACAGGAGCCGAAAGGCAGGTTCTTTCTCTTCTTTTTTTTTCCCTAAGACACGGAAACCTTTATTTTCTCCCTACACCACAAACCGGTGCTGTTAAATAATATTGGATAATTGCACCTGTCGTACTCCCCATATTGTGCTGAGGAAAAATAATTGCTGGTTTTCTGCTTTGCCGTTTAGCTGTGACTCCGTCATTTGACTCGGAGCATGTCATTTTCTCCCATTTTAGACTGTGTACAGTCAAACCGTGTGAAAGGACTCACAGACAGCGGCCCTGCGTGTATGAGTGGGCGCGGGCCTCATTCAGCAACGATTTCTAATTTATACAGCATTGAAAATCCACAGCTATAAATAAACAGTTCTGACTGGCTTTGCTGCCTACTCAAATGCTTTATTAAAAAAAAAAAAAAAAAAGACAGCAGCAACTGCATGAGAAAGGAAAACAAGGCTGTCTGGAAGTAGATCCTGGTTGCTGAGTCCAGGCCTGGGAGGGAGGATGCCCCGCCTTGGGAGGGGCCCAGAGCTCGGCCCCCTCACGCTCCCCACGTGTGGGTGCAACGTGTTTGGGGATCACAGTATATGAAACTGGCTTCCTGTTATGACAAGTATTGCAAGCAGGGAGGTGCAGAGGAGCTGAAAACAGCTTGAGAAGTGTAGGACCCTTTTGAGGGGAGGATGGGGTTAATGTGTTGTTTAGGCAACAAGACAAGTCTTCCACCCAAATTCGAATTGGTTTCACATGTGAGATAGCGACACCGGCACATAGCCTGGGGACAGGCCAGTCTGCGGCGCAGTGGCGGTGTTGCTCCTCCTTCCGCCTGCATGAGGGATGGTTTCCACCAAGTTGGGGTCCCCTGACCGCCTTCTTTTGTCCAGCTTTGCAAGATGTGATTACATTTTTGGTTTTCTCTTCTTTCTTTCTTTCTTTTTTTAAATAAAGGCTTTGGAATGACCAATTACTGCTTTGCTCTACAATAAGGAGGAAGGAAGGTGAACTCTAGAATAATTATTTGTGTGACCTTGGACCTGTCATTTCCCTGCTCTGAACCCAGAGGTGTGCTGGAGCCAGTTCATACAAGGTCTTGAGGACCAAGTGGTCGTGTACGTCTCTTCCTAATTCTGCATTCAGCAACATGTTGGTACCAACATGGTGAGAGTATTTACACCATGGAAACAGACAAACACTATCAATCAGGGCTTTAATATTTTTTTCTCTAGAGAGTTGGCTGGTAGACATTTCTGAACATAGCACCATCAGAAACTCAGTTTGCTTATTTGTAAAATGAAGGCATAATACATTTCCTACTAACAAAGAGCCTGTGAGCCTAAAATGGGCGAGAGTGATTATAAATTGCATGACACCATACAAATACTATTGCTGGTATCATCATTTGGTTTCTATATTTGTCATTTTCTAACTGTTAAGGGCCTAACACAGCCCTACATAGGATGCAAATACTATCTACCTCTTAATGGATGTTTAATCACTATTCGCCACAGGTGTTTGGTTGCTTTTGCTTTCTTAAGCTACAGCAGCACTGAAGATTCACTTGCATGCTTAGGTTTGTGCTTAAGGGGAATGGCCCTGTGATATTTCTAGTGTTGGAATAGATACTGCACTGTGGCCAGGCATGCTGCAATCAAGGTTTAATTTGGTCCTAGGGACAGTAAAGCCACAAATAGAAATCTGCAGGCTCATCCCAGCCAAGAGCTTACTATGACTCTGAGAAGTATGTAGCCCAAGTCATCTTTGGGGTGTGGAAAACTTGGGTGATCCCCTGCAGGCTTCCCATTTGGGGTATTTCCACTGTGACAACTGCTTCTGGGCGCCTGCTGGGACCAGGTGCTCTGAGCAGTCAAGAGGCAGCAGCAGGTGTGGCGAGAGAGGTGGGGTTCCCAGCTCAACGTGAAAAAGACTTGAGGCTCATATGAATAGAATAGTGGAAAAGGAGTAGGGCTTGAGCAGGTTTTTTGGCACCTGCCCCGGTCTTCCCTCTGACTGCCTTCCCTAGTGAGAAATCCTGCCCTCCTCTCCAACCCTTCAAGACTTCCCTTGGTGTCGGTTTTTACCAAATCTCTCCTGCATGATGTTAGGTTGGGAAACCCAGGTACGATTCACTCCAGTGTCCGCACCCCAACCCACCTGAGCCTGGTGACATACTAGTAGACCCAAACACATTTACCCACCTCGAGACATTTGTTATTTGTGTTCTTTTAAAAATGTGCCTATAAATAAAGGCCAGGAAAAAACCACTAGGAAAATCAAAACGGGGTTTATGAATCATTGTTCATCATCTGGCAATCAGCTTTGTTAAAACATAAACTAACTCTGCAACGTGCTCCGCACCAAAGCAATCTACCTCAGCAGGCTTCATAATCGTGTCACTTCTCAATGAGGGTCTTCTCCAAGTAAAATGTACAACGTTTATTTGATGAATTTATCAGTTTGAATGGAAGAATTTGGAAATGTCACTATGTTCAATGGCTACACCTGCTTGAATGTTTGCTCCCAAGAGGGGCAGATTTCCCAATACTTTTTGTAACTTACTTTCTCATTGATCCTTATAACTTCCAGGTAGACAGACAACTTCAGTAGCAGCCATCTCCCTATATTTCTAGATTGATGAAAAAAAATGAATAAGCAATCTGTGAAAATAGCTTACTGAAATGCTTGTTTTTTTTTTTTTTTAAAAAGAAGTTGAAATTATTAAAATGAGCCAGGACTGGGAGTTAGAAAATCTAGGTGACAAAAAGTTAGAAAATCTAGGCGACAAAAGCTATTGTCTCGGCTCTGACCCTTTTGCCTCATGCAGGTAACTTCTCATCTAGGTCCTCAGCATCCTCCTCTGTAAATTGAAGAGTTTGAATGACCCTAAGTTCTTTTCTCTCTCTCTAAATTTTCTCTAACACCAAGTTTATGTGAGTTTATTTAGCCTTTGGCCAGATTTTAACCAGAGACCATCTTCCACGAAGGGCAGACAAATTCTGAGATGGCAGGAGTTGTTTTTGGTGTGAGCAGTCAACCTTTCAAAACCCCAAGAGTTCTCAAGCTACCTTCGTCATACTCTTATTAAATTTGAACACACTCCCTGTCTTATCTACCTTCCTATATTGCTCCACCACCTCCCCCATTCAAGGGGAAAAAAAAAAGGATGAGAAAAAGCTATTGTGCTTTCTTCCTTCTTGGTTCTTGGAAAATGGTGTGAAATCACTTCCTCTTTTTCTGTGGCTGCATCATGTCACCTGTAGAAACAAGAGTAGAGAGAGACCTCAGACTTCAGGGTTTCCCTATTGGGTATTTTTGTTCAGCTAGAGATTCACCCTGACTTGGGGCAGTGGAAAGTCAAGCACAATTTCCCCCAGGTGAGAAGATGTATTTTAAGGAGTTTCGAAAATTAGCCACCACCAATGCGCCGGCAAGAAACAATCCTGCTGCCCTCCTGCCATGCTTGGCTCACAGCTAGCCAGGCACCCAGACATGCCCTTTGCCTTCATGCAGCTCTGCATATTGGACAGGAGGCATCTAGCTGTCGCTCTGGGTGAGTGTTTGCAGGCTGCACTCAATCCATCAGCAAATGTTGAGACTTTGCAGATGGAGAGGCAGAGACCACATCAAATTAGAGAGGAAACAGAAGAGTGGGTGTTCACCTAATTGGGGTCATGCTATGACCTCTCACCAAATCAATTTATCAGCTAGGTGGAAAAGTACCGGTATATGGATTAGTTTTTAGTAAGCTCATTAGAGGGGCATTATTCATTGAAATTATATCCTTCGATCTCTAGAATGACTTTCATTCAGCCAACAAGTTGGTACCTCCATACTTAATGATCATAAATCTTTGTGTAAGCTCTGAAATTTATAAAATTTGATTAGCTCATTATCTGTTGTGCCTGTTGGCCAAATACTATCAATCCTACTCTGAAAACTTTTCTCAACTCAGTGTCTTCTCCTCCATTCCAGAAGTGAGAGCCCTGGTAGTTCCGCTTTGGTATTGCCACAGCAAACTCATACTCCTAATGCCACGGTTCGCCCTTCGAACACTGCCACCTCCATCAATTTGATCCTTAACAGTAAACATTAAATAATTTCTACTAATTTCATTTTGCTGAAACTCCCCTTCTCAGAGGCTACAGTGACTGGTGACGTGAAGTCCCACTGGCGGCCCCTTTACCATTTTCTTGCCATCTCTTGCTCACACAGTCCTGGTGGCCGTCCTTGTATTGATGTCTCTCAATATTTTTAAGGCCAGTCATCTCCTTCTTCTACTCCTTATCAGTCCAGACTACCCAGTCTGTCCAGCGAAGCCTTACTATTTATTTACCCAGTTTTGTGGGCTTCGTGTTGTTTTCATTCATGTGTCCATCTATTTTCCATTTCTGATGTGAATCTTCTCCTCCCCAGTTAGGTCCTCCCGACGTCAGGTGTATAAGTACAATCACCGTGCTTTCTCTTTTCTGCAGTGTGTACTTTGGGCGTTTAATGAATTCTATCTCAACTAAATAACCAGCTAATTCCCTCACGTCTAAGAGCTTGGTCGATACAAACTTCTCAAACTTGTTGCCTCTGCAGTCACTCTGAAGGCTCCTAAAACTTTTTTTTTATCCATGTTGTTTACCAATGTCCAGCCCCTCAAGTCTAACTATAATCATAACCTTACTCCTTCAACCCCGAATGCCAAGGACTGGAGACTCTTTTCTCCATTTAAGAAATGCAGCAGATCATGAAGGCTGACACAGAAGCAGCCCAGGAGCAGAAGTGGTGGTGTGAAGTTCTGTGGAGCAGGGAGAGCAGGTGACTCCTTCTGCCGGGTCAGAGTCTCCTTTCTAAAACCAAGTAGTAGGTGACACTAAGAAATTCCCACATACCCACCGGCCTGCTAGAGAAGACACAATCCCCAAACGGGTCTCTGTGTGAACCTCTCACAGTCATTTTACTCTATAAAGTACACCATTTCATTCTTACGTGGTGTGAATACCTCAGAAATCGTGTTGTTATTTTTGGTTCTATCAGGTGGGGACAAGGGGTGGGTTCTTAATCTTGAATTCTTCTGGAGCTGAGCTGTTTCTAAGCTTCTTTGACTCCTGGGAATTTCTGTCTGACCATATGGTGCATAGCTGGAGATGGGGAGCCAGTGACCTAGTAATAGATCACGTATCTCACCCAGACCAAATTCACACAATACATTTTAAACTCCGATTGGTAAATAATATTGTTTGTTATAATTCTTTTCCTGATTGAGGTGAATTTTTCCCAGTAGAAAATCTCCTAGTTGGCAGCTAGGGAGTTAGGTCCACCCCTGACTTATTTTAGTCCTTTCCTTAACCCCTGGCAGCTAGTGCTAAAGGCTAGAGATATTGTAGGCCAAGCATTTGATGTTCATCTGTGCCACCTCCAAACATTTTCTGCTGGCAAGGCAAAGAAACCATTGTTTCAATCAACATCACTCTGCATACCATTTATAATTATTTACCTTATTATTCCAATAGTTAGAACACAGGATAAATAAAAACATAGTATTCCTAAAGGTTCACAACTATGCATCTACAACCACAAAAGCTACTGGTAGACTTTGAATTGAAAATTTGGAGAACATTGGCCTAGTTTCAGTGGGCTGCCTTGGAGAAGGGCAAGAAAGCCAGTGGTTGGGGGGATGTGAGGTGTTAGAGGAATGGGGTTTGAGCATCAATGAGCATAAGCCCACATTGCAGAAGTCCAAAGAAGAGATGAAGCTGAGGGCTAGCTGGAGAAACTCTCGCAGGGAAAGAGGCTAAGGAAGAGAGAGAGAATAATCCAGAGTGTACTCTCTTTGAGCTCATGAAGATGAAGTTAGGACAGAAAAAGCAAAAAGGAGATGTACCTTTGTTAATGACTAAATGCTGCCCCAATGGAATCAAGTGTTAGAAGTACCCGTGGAGTCAGCTTATGATAAAATTCCTTCATAATGAAATGATCAGGGATAATATACAAGACAGACATTAGAAATTATCTAATTTATTTATGAATAAAACCACAGAGGTAGACCAGAGCAGTGGTCCCCAACCTTTTTGGCACCAGGGACTAGTCTCATGGAAGACAATTTTCCCACACACCGCAATGTGGCCGTAAATACAAATGAATCTTCACTCCCTGGCCGCGGCTCACCTCTTGCTGTGCAGCCCAGCCCTGTTCCTAACAGGCCTCAGACTGGTAGCAGTCTGCACAGGGGTTGGGGACAGCAGGACTAGAGGGCCTCTAGGCAGCTTTCAACAACAAAGTCATCTTTTTAAAAACCTGGTCTGTGGCAAATGATATTAAACGAAGATTTTAATGTCTTTCTATCTAAGACACCATCACAAAGGTACTTGGCCAGACTGGAATTTTCAGCCTATAAATTGTCCTTAGGAGCAAAAGGGTCTATGGTCTTGGGCCCTGACAAAGGATAGCCTGACCCCTGGCACGTGGCCCTCAGGAACAGAGGGAGAGGGAGTCCTGGGCCTGGGGTAAGCCGCTGTCTCTGCAGGCCTGGAGGTGCTTATCCCCTTTCCGTGCTGACATCTCCTGTGCGTTGGCCTTCGCTTCCTGAAGGACTTGTGCCCTGGCATCAGCATCCTTGTGTCCTATCACCAAGGGAAAAGAAAAGAAAATTAAGCATTCATAGGGCAGAGAAGGGGGCCTCTGATGGGAATCCCTGACTGCTCCTTTCCTCCAATTGGGGTGGAAGAGAATCTGCCAGGGGCACACCTAGGACTTCAGACATGGTGGGCCAAGCTTACAAGGATCTGCTAGCAACTGCTCCCCACCGCCTGCTTCTCTCATTATTTGAAACCAATGTGCCACCTAACACTGCCCAAAAAGGTAGAAATTGAATCTTTCAGGTTGGGTGACTGGTCCCAATAGCTGACTCCATGCTTGTTTAACCCTCTGTTCCATGACACATAAAAGCTAGCATAGCGCAGGGAGTCAGACAGTGCCAGGTCAGACAGGGTGGCCCTGTGGACCCTCTTGAGAGCTGTTTGAGCCCCAGCATCTTCCTGAAGGACCTTCCCAAGGGCCGTGACAGAATTCGCCTCCCTGACGCTCAAAGCCAGTTGTCTGCAGCTATGTGCCCTGGGAGGACCTCGTCACATACTTTCCAAGTTTCCATCCGATGCCTGGTATCATTTCTTACAACTGCTCTTCTGGCTGTCCTCTCATGTTCACCGCTGGCGTGACACACGATGAGGGGGACAGTAAGTCGACATTCAGCAACAGCATTCCTCACCACCAACACCCTTGTCAGTCCAGCGGCTGACTTGGGAGAACACCACATTGCACGAGGGTGCTTGTAGGCACAATTACCCGTACTGGGAGGCGTCCAGAGTCCTGTGGTGTAGACGGCTTGTCCTCAGACCAGCAGCATCAGTATCTCTGGGGCACCTGTCAGGAGGGCAGAATCCCAAGCTGCACCCCAGATCCACTGAATGAGAATCTACATTTTAACAAGATCCCCAGGTTCCCCGAGATTCTCATTTCAACAAAATGCAGAGGTCTGCGCAGGTTTGAGAAGCATTGCTCTGTACCCGTGGCTCCGAACCCAGGCTGCAAATTTAAATTATTGGGAGCTTTAAAGAATACCCACATCAAGTCACAATGTCCAGAGATACAGATTTAATTGGTCTGGGAGTGGGTCTGGGAATTAGTATTTTTAAAACTCCCCCGGTGTTTCTATGATGTGAAACCACTGCTAGAGAGATCTAGCACGTTTAGTGGATCTTAACTGATATTTCATCTGATATTCTTGACCACTCAGTGCCTGGCTGGTGACTCCAGCCAGGCCACACTGTGTCTCAGGCATTCAGAGGCAGAGAGTCTAGCAAATTCCAGCCTCTATTAGCCTGACCTCCTATTTCACTGTAAGTTCTCGAGGATATGCATTATCTCTGTCCATTGGCACACACAGTCACTCGCGACAGTCTCCGTCACTCACATGAACATTAGCACATGCACCATGTTAATGAGGTCCACGTGTCGATGCCGGCTTATTTGCTCCTTGGGACCTAACTGTGGTGAGAAATTGGATATACTACTGAAACAACGAGGCTTGTAGGAAGAGCTCTGGGTTGAAAATGGTGATTTTAGTAATATAAAAACAGTGAAATTTTATTTTTTAATTCAAAGGATGTTTAAAATTCGCTGTACAGTAACAATTTAAAAATCAACTCAATAAATTATTGAACTCAGTACAATTGATATAAAAAGTTATTGTTCTCATGCTCTAAATAATCAAGTTGTTCTCTATACTTCTTGTATCTGCCAAAGTTCAAATTGATCTTTCTTTCTTTCCTTTCTTTTCTTTTCTTTTCTTTTCTTTTCTTTTCTTTTCTTTTCTTTTCTTTTCTTTTCTTTTCTTTTCTTTTCTTTTCTTTTCTTTTCTCTCTTTCTTTTTAAAATAGATCTGGGGAAGGCATCAAAAATCTTCACCCATAACTTCAAGGAACCAAAACTAGTTAGAATTAGATGTCAACACATAGGAAATGTCAACACATTTTTTTTCTGGATAATTTCCTGTGATTTGGAACCCTGATATGGGAAGTAATTTTTAGTACTCCATTTTATAAGTGTTTGCTTTCAGAAAGAATTTTGCCTTTGAGACTTTCTTAATCAGTCAACTCCTCCAAGAGTAGAAAACACGTGACAAATCCAAGTTGCATGCTTATTTCTCCAGAGTCTCAGCTTCCTCTCAGAAATACACACTCTGGTACTGAACCTTCTGAAACTGTCGGGCTTTTTGGATACACGGACTTATGTTTTCACACCAGTTCATAGATTGGGCGGAAGATGGCACTTCTGCTGTCTCTATTTTGATAGAACAGAACGGTATGTGGGCGAGTGACGTGGGGGGCTGTATGTGACTCCTTGTCTTCCCTACATGCAAAATCAGGGCAGAGTTCCTGCACTTCTCCTTCGGGAGGGAAAAAAGTCACGGGTATTTTGCAACCTGACTTTCTGGTAGTTACTTTTCTAACAATAAAAATATATATATATTCTGGGGGTGGGGTGGGGAGAGAGGAAATGGGGAGAGAATAAAACCTTCCTTTTTAAAATCAACTGAAGTTATGATGATTTTTTTTTCTTATAAAGAAGCAACATGGCTCTACTCACCTATAATTAGAAAGCTTAGCTTGCTGACATATTCTCATTGCCCAAGACTCTGAATGAGAAATCCAGTCGTAAGTATAGGATGTGATTTTGTCTGGGAAATGCTTTGCTAAAAGTTGAGAAGCAGCCTAATGAAGGAGGCACGGGAACTCTTCGGGGATGCGCCTCTGAGGTCAGAAGAGCTAAGAGGGTCCTTTGGACTCACTTCCTTCCAAAAGGAAACCTCGGCATTTTCACAGCTTGTGTCCCTGGAGCCCTCACTTGGGTAGCAGGAAGACCTTGATCTTACTTTCTCATGCTGGGGATGGCAGTACTTTTGTCTCTAAAGATAAAAATAAGATTATTTTTATCTTTAGAGTTAAATGAGCTATTTTGGGGGGAGAGGAGGGAATATAATTTGATAGGTCCTTTGAAAAAGTGTCAGCTTCCCCCAGGCTTTTCCCTTGCCTGCTTTGGTAGGACCTGGCTGAGTCCTCTGGACAAAGACATCAAGCATCATTGCCTTCTGTTTCGGACTAGATTTTCCTTCTGTTTCCAGGAGGAGTATAGAAAGGGCAAAGAAGAAATGCATTTGTAGGTAAGAGAGAAATACACCGACCCCATTTCCAGTGGTTGAGCTTCTCTCCAAGTAGGTAGAGGCTGGCACTAAAGATGTAGCTGAGAATGAAAAAGGCTGCCAGGCCCAGAGGGCTCAGATTGGCAAGCACGGGATACCCCCAGGTACCTGTCTCGGAGTAGAGCCATAGAATCTTGCAGAAAACAAGTCACAGTGATTAGGACAGGAGGAGAAAAACAAGCCATTTTTTCATCAGCATCAGTGGAGTACCGGAGCCCAGGCAGGTGAAAAGAAGCCACTGGGGACATTTGTCAATAGCTGAGTTATTCCCACAAACCTATAGAAGTGAGTCTCTTCTGGGTAGATCGACTTGATTCAATAAGACATGCCGTTTTATGGGTTGGGCTGGGCTGGCCTGTTTTACCTAATCCATTAAAATTTAATGTTGGTGAAAGAATATGGGAGAACATAGGACACATTAGCCAAAGGGAGTATGTAAGAACACGAATTTCCCCTTCCCGGAGAGGTACGGCCTGCTGAGACATCGAACCTGCTAAGATGGCATCCATTTGCCGGCTCTCATTTTGACACTGAAGAGTCAGGTGCAGCTTTCTATTAGCTCTTCAAATCTGCTGGGATACGAGGGGCAGAGATGGAGCATTATTGCTCTAATACAATATGCCTGGGATTTACGTGTTGGCCTTGATTTTCACTCATGCATATAGCCATGAAAAGAATGTTAAGCTGGAATGGATGGATTTACAGGAAGGCTCAGATCTTGCTCATGGGAGGCTAGACTATAAGTCATTTCTGTAAGCCCAGAGAAGGAAAAGAAATGCTAGGAGAGGAGGCATGATGTCCAAGTGAAGCCTAAAAATGCAGTTTGCTGGAAACCAACTGCACTCACTGGAAGGTGCCAAAGTCTGAAATAACTTTTAAAAATTAAATATGGGGAAGATGATGCATCAGCTACAGTTCATAATTGGGTAAGAGTACAGAATCTGAAACCAGGCTTCTGTGCTTCAAATCCTAGCTCTGCCACCTATTAGCTATGTTACCTTCAGCAATGTATTCAACTTTTCTGTCCCCCCACCCCATGCGTAAGGTGAGACCCAAACAGTGTGCACCTTCTAAGGCTGTTGTAAGGATTAAGGGAGTTAACACATGAAAATTACACAGAACAGTACCTGGCATGTTGTGATTATTTGACAAGAGTTCAAAAGCTTCTTTCTTTACTGGAGGAAGGCACATGGGAGTGTTCGCAGAAAGCCTTCTTTGAAGCTGGTGATCTCTTGTAACAATTAGGATAGGCTAGGTTATGCTTCAGAAACAACGTCTAAACTTGGATATACCAGGTTGTCAAAGGAATTCAGATGGAAAAATGAAATTCTGTGCTTCATTAAACTTTCAGAAACCCAAATGTGATCTCTGTCATTTCAAATACTTTAAGTTTGTTAAATGTTTTGTGGAAGAGACAAGGACTAATATTCAGAGCCAGGAGTAGAGTGAGGCACCCAGGCTGTCCAATTTAAACTGTCATCTCTGTGGATCAAAGGACACAATCAACAGCAGGAAAAGGCAACCCATGGAATGGGAAACAATATTTGTTAACATATATCTAATAAAAGGTTAATATCCAGGGTACATTAAAAAAATTCCTGTAAGTCAACAATAAAAACAACAACACTCAAACAACCCAATTAAAAATGGACACTTGTATTAATATTCCATAGAGAAGATATCTAAATGGCCAACAAACACATAAAAAGATGCTCAACATCACTAATAACTAGGGAAATGCAAATCAAAACCACAATGAGATATTCCCTCACAACCCATTAAAAACCTCACAACCTATTAAAAAAAAAACAGAAAATAACAAGTGTTACCAAGGATACGGAGAAATTGAAACCCTGTGCACTTTTGGTGGGAATGTGAAATGGTGCATCTCCTACGGAAAACTGTATGGCAGTTCCTCAAAAAATTAAAATAGAATTACCATATGATCCAGCAATTTCACTCCTGGGTATACACCAAAAAGAATTAAAAAGAGGGACTTGAAGAGATATTTGTACACCCATGTTCATGGCAGCATTATTCACAATATTCCAAAAGGCAGAAGCAATCCAAATGTCCATTGATGGATGCATAGATAAATAAAATGTGCCATATACATATACATTAAAAAGGAAGGAAATTCTGACTCATGCTACAACATGCATGAATCAACCTTGAGAACATTATACTAAGTGAAATAAGCCAATTACAAAAGGACAAATGCTATATGTGATTCTACTTATATGAGGAACTTCGAGTACCAAATATATAGAAACAGAAAGCAGAATGGTGGTTGCTGGGTGTTGGCAGCAATGGGGAGTGCTATGGCTCGGATATAGTTTGCTTGTCCCTACCAAAACTCATGTTGGAATTTGATGCCTGTTGTGGCTGTGTTGGGAGGTGGGGCCTTGTGGGGGAGTTTGAGTTATGAGGATGGATCCCTCATCAGTGATTTGGTGCTGTTCTTATGGCAGCAAGTTCTCCTGGGAATGGAATACTTCCCACGACAGTGGGTTGTTATAAACCCAGGACGCCCCTCAAGTCTTTCCCTCTTCACATATGTCTGCTTCCGCTTTGACCTTCTCCACTATGTTATGATGCAGCACGAAAGCCCTGGCCAGAAGCCAGCATCATGCCCTCGAACTTCTTAGCCTGAACAACCACGAGCCAAATAAATCTCTTTTCTTTATAAATTACCCAGTCTCAGGTATTCTTTTATAGAAACACAAAATGGACTCAGACAGGGAGTTAGTGTTTAATAGGTACAGGGTTTTGGTTTGGTGAAGATGGAAAAGTTCTGGGGCAGATGGTGGCGATGGTTACACAACCATGTGAATGTACTTAATGCCACTGAACCATACAATTAAACACGATTAAATTTTATGTTACGTGTATTTTACCACAACTTAAAAGAATCTAAGGAAGTGCCAGTCATAGGGTCGTACAAGTATAGGGTCGGCCCTTGGTTCCCAGTGGTGGCCTGCTGCTCTCACACCACTCTCCCAAACCTGTCTTGATGTTCCTCCCAGAGTACCAATGAGGACTGGAACACACAATAATTACCATCATTATTACTAATATTGGAATTCTTTGGGTTGTGCATCCCATGGATGCACTCTATAAGGATGGCCACAGTGCCTCCTGCATGCATGCAGGGAAGGAGGAAGAAAAGGAGAACGGAAGGAGGGAAGGAAGGAGAGAGGGAGGCAGGGAGGGAAGGAGGCAGACAGGGACAGTGGGGTGGAGGAGGGCAGGTACTTTGCACTCAACGCATCCTTCATCTCAGTCAACGCAGTTCTCCACTCACTCTCGCCCCCGTGTTTGATCCCATGAAATCATAGCTTTACTGAACTTCCTTTTAAATGTTTCTCCAGCGCAGACTCCTTCATGTCACCTGGGTTTCTGTCATTGTCTGCTGGCTGCGCTTTCTTGCTCCCTTCAACCCACCTTCCAGACTGCCAGCCACTAGCATCCCAGTAATCTTTCCAAAACTGATCACTGTCCCTGGCACTCCACTGCTTCCAGCAGGTTCCCACAGCTTTAGGAAAATATCTCAGCTGCTCACCCCGCCACCCTGCCCTGCTCTGCCCACCCGTCCATCCACAGATCTGTAGTCCATCTGCATTGGACCTCTTTGTTTCTGGAATGAACTCTGCAGTTTCTGAGCTTTCATCTCTGCTGTTCCCTCTGGTTGGAACACCTCTGACCTTTCTGTTTCCTGGAACACCTCTTTGCTCTGTTCCTGCTGAATCTTACTCATGCCTTGAGTCTCAGCTTAAAAGTCCATTTTCCGTTATAGAAAAGGTTTCCTGAACATCTTTCCTCCAGCCCCGTTCAGTTGGGTGCTCGTGTCGGGTGTCCCCTGCCCTGGAACATACCTCTGTTACTTATCTGATTGTTTTTCTCATTATCCTGGAAGCTGCACAAGGGCAGGGACTGTGTCTGTCAATGCACATCAGTTTCCCAAGTGCTCAGACCATGATCAGTTCTTTATATTTTTAAGTGAATGGGGTAGCTCTGTAGGACACTACTGTCTACAGCTGCCTGACCCTCCAAGACCACCACAGCTTCTCTTTCCTCTCTCTTTTTCCACAAATCTCGTCCCACCACAAGGGTTCAACTACCTGGATCTCCCCAGCCCCACCTCCCTGGGGACGGCCAGATCTGAATTGCCAAATAGAAGTTCTTCCAGGCAGGTGGTACTCAACCTTAGCTGAAGATTAGAATTGCCTTGAAATTCCAATTCCCAGAACATATCCTGAAACAATTAAATCAGAAATGTACCCAGTAACATTCCAAGTTATGAATAATCTAATGCTCACTTTATTAATACTTTGAAGAGGCCAATGAGACTGTCCCTCAGTTCAAAGAGCAATTGTCTGCTGCCTTGAGCCTCCCACTCCATGTAAGTCAGGCTGGCCGCGCACATGATGGCAGCCAAAAGTTAATCTTTTAGAGTCTCCTCATCCCAAATCTTGTAGCAGCAAAATGGCTATCAGGAAATTCACATCTTCTGTATCTTATCAGTGGGGAAATGTGGAAGTCTGTGGATTAGCGATAAGCACATAACAGGGTTTTGTGGGCTTTGGGCTTCTAAAGTGTTAACCCTCAAATTACATCCTTCTCACCCAGCAGAATAAATTAAATAAAAAGAGTGGAGAGAAATTGTGAAGCTGGAGTGTTACACAGAGGTTTTACCTGGGTGTTGAAATATCAGCAACGATGAGAGTCGTTGGGGCAGCAACCTCTTCATGGCATTTCAAACTGCTGCCCACCCCTCCCTGAAACGCCCTCTTCCGGTTTGAAGCTTCCTCTTCCCTTAGGGCCCATGGGGTCCTTGACCTCCCTGGTTTTCTACCACCCCATCATTCCAGGCCACTTCTGCTGCCCTCTTTCTCCTCCTGCCCTCTTCCATCTTCCTCTCTCTTTCCAGCAATCTCGGCCCACCCACCGCAAGGGTCCAACTGCCTGGGTCTCCCAGCCCCACCCCTCTGGAAACAGCCGGGTCTGAATTGCCAAACAGAAGTTCTTCCAGGCAGGTGGTCCTCAACCTTGGCTGAAGATTAGAATTGCCTTGAAATTCTGATGCCCCAAACATATCCTGAACCAATTAAAACAGAATATTTTTGGAATGAGAACTAGATATGGGATGTGAAACTGACTTTTGTTTTTTTTATGCCCCAAACTATTTCTTTCGTAATTCATCTTCATCTACTAATGGAATCATCATCTTTTCAGTCCACTAACTTAAAATTCTTAGAATTGTCCTTAAGTTTTCATTTTCATTTGTCCAGTAAATGTCAACTAATCCACAAACCTATTCTGCTACTTCAACAATATGTCTCAGGAATGTCTCTCGTTTCTGATTATATAGCTGTCACTCTCTGCAGACTGTCATTACTTCTAATTTATGTTATAGGCATTTTGGTTGAACAGGAGCTGAGGTTTGGACGGGAAGGATGAACAGTGTAGATAACCCTTTCTTCTCCCGGCCCCCCAACTCCATCCCTCCTGAATTCGTGCACTGGCTGGGCTGGACCCCAAAGGTTGACAACAAGGATGTAGCATAGCATCTTTATATTTATTTTCCTATATTAATTGACACGAGGGCTAGGAAATCCTTCTGTGGAGAATGGGGCTGAGAAGCCAATCTCCACTGACATTCAAGGTTATAAAACTCTGGTTGACCTGGATGGTGTCAAATGAAGGTCATATTTTAGGAAAGTCATGGTGCTCTTGGGGGGAAGCTCACCGCAGTACACTGGTAGGAGTAGGGGGCAGTGCGGATGCTGGAGAGGGCAAGGCCTGGTCCTGCTGCTCAGCTTCGTCCAGTCCTTGGCAGTTTTTAATATATTCTCGGAGTAAGATCTGTGAGTGTGATTGTGTAACTGGGGCCTGAATTTAAAGGAATTGTTATACCTGGGAACTCAGGAAGCTTTGCTGACTTGAATGTGTATAGTACAGAAGAAAAAAAATTCTCTTTCGTGCTTCATAGAAACTGCTATTGGGAAGTAACTTTACAAACATCTCCCCCAAGGGCAGATGATAGCTGCATATCCATGGGACACTTGTTCTGGATATGCAATACCTTACCCACTAGCAGAGACACGTACAGCATCAGCAGGTTCCTGGTCTATGGAAAGCAGGATGATGGTGCGCTGCAGGCCAGCTGGGGCCCTCACTGTGGCTGTAGCATTGTTCTAGTTCTGCCAATGGAGGGGGCTAACGGGTAATGGCAGTGTTGGCATCAGCAATGGGTATGGCATGCTCAACCTTAACACAGTGCCAAGAGGAGATGTTGGGCTGGGGTGGCTAGGAATTGTGGCTTTGCCATCTGGGTGGGAGAGCAACGCTCAGAACAATGGGCAACATGGGTTGGGGGAATGTATGAGCACTCAGTGGATTACTGGAATTCTTTGGGGATGGATATCTTGGAAGACTCGATTACCTACAGCCAGGTAGAAGGGTGCTCCAAGCATCCTAACGTGGAATATCACTAGAACTGAAAAATAACCACGGATGAAGAATAAGACTATGATTAAACTAGATAACTTAATACTCTGAGTAATTTTTATTTTTATATTGTTTTATTTTGTTTCCCATCTCTTGTCATTCCAATCAATTTGAAGTGCCATTGTCAAGATCAAATTTTTAAGGCATACTTCTTTGCCCAAGTTACTAACACTTCTCACACTCCCCTCCCCCCCCATAGAAACAAACAAACAACAGCAACAACGAACACTCCCATTGTCTGCACTGTGGTACACTATACCATCTCTCGTAGTGTGCCGCCACCCGCGAGCCTCCACCAGCGAGGCTCCAGGGCTGTTCCTATTAGTCTCTCACTAATAGGTCCCGCTAAAGAGAATTCCTGACCACTGATCTCACACGTTCTGCACTCTCTGGGCCTTAGCAAGGTGCACCTGGGGGTTCACTTTGTTCCATTTTTTGCAGCTCCCATCCTGCCGTTCCTTCAGGGCCCAGACCCAATGCATGCCTTCCACGACACCCTTCCTGCACCACTCAGCTGGTGCAAACTCTTCCTTCTCTCTGTTCCTGCGACTCCGTGTATATTTTATGACATCTTACCACTTTCCATCTTATGTTCTCATAATTTGTATGCATGGCTCATCTCTGCTTATTAGGTACAAACCCTCTGCAGGCTGGGGCCTGGCCATATACAACTTTGCTTTTCAGAAAAGGACCACCCTTGTGTTAGGGGAAATATTTGTTCGATAAAAAAATGTATAAAAACCCAGCAGAAGGCACATTTCTATTTTTTTGCTCCTCACCAGTGTCCCAGAGAGAGCCAGGTGATGTGTTTTGGGGTGAGAGAGAAGGGAGGAGTGAGTGAGCTACCATATTTATAGGTGACTAATGCTTTCCGAAGGAAATGAAAGATTTGCAGTCATTACTACTTTGCAAAGCTTTATTTTCCTACTTAGGGGCCAGCCCTTCAATTTTGCAATCTGAAAAATAACTAAAAGCAGGCACTACATGTCAGGCAGTCCCCACGGTCTCAGTGGCTATTTTTAGGTCATTGTAACATGGTTTCAGCAGTGAAATGCTTCTCTAGCTCAGAGCTATTGCCTTTGCTTCTGACTCATGTTTGCTTCTCACGCTCCCTCTGGCCTGAGCCCACGTTCTTTACCTCATTCCTACTATGCCATTTCCCCATGTGACCATCCAAATTGGTACACTTAACAGCTGACCCAGAGCCACTACCCTAAAACATCTCCATGGATATCCACAGTTTGTGGAATTTGTTGATGGCCTTCTGTGGCCGTGACGCCCACGAGCCCGAGAGAGCTGCGTGAGGGTGGAGATGGCAGGTAGCCAAGCCTTGGAGCTGCTCTGACCAGGGAATGGGCAGAGACAGGGCAGCTTCTGTCAATGCGACAACGTAAAATGCTGCCCTCATGTAAGGATATGCACTGGATTTGTTCTACCAAAAGTAGGGTTTAATAAACCAAATGCTGATGTAGTACTAATCATTACTGATAACAAGAACCAGACCCCAAACCACTGCAGCTCCCCACTGGGCAGTGGGGCGCACCCGGTCACATTCCTGCTGGTGACAGGTCCCTGTCTCTTTCTTCCACTCCCTCCCTTACCATGACTTTCATGGTGCTGGGAACAGCAGCATCAGGCAGGATTTTAGCGTGCGGAGGCTGGATCAAGCTTTCTTGCGTACCCACCCACCCAGCATTTAGCCCAGCGGTTTTACACACACTGGGAGCTGAACTTTACACACACCTGGCCCTGTGAACACAGTGGAAAGAAAATTGGATTTAGAAATAGAAGACTTTGTTTTGAGTTGGTTTAAGTCCCATTTTATTTTCCCCAGCCCTCACCTCCACCATATGACCTTGGGCACATCATCTACCCACCGGCGTTTCAGTTTTCCAATGCCAGGTGATCTCTAAGTTACCTCCCACTGATCACACTCTCTGGTTTTATTTGTGGGTTGATGGATTGTCATCAGTTGCCTAACATCAACTCACTGGAGTTACCACATATGCCACCAACTGGCTTATCTGTCTTGTTCCTCTTCAGTCTAATTTCCACACTCCAGCCAGAATCATCTTTCTAATTACATTTCTTACATAAGCCACACCATATCATCCCTCTGCTTCTAACATTTGCACAGAGAAGCACTTGGTTTAAAAGTCTGAGCTCATGGAGTGGATTTATGACCTGGCTTTTCCCTGTCCCCCAATTCAGCCATAGCCTCAGTGCCGCCAGCACTTTGCAGATACTCTTCCCTCTGGCTGAAGGGCTCTTCCATGTCTCTCTTGACTTATTCCTACTCATTCTTTGGGTCTCAGCTTAGACAAATCTTCCCTTTAGGAAGCCAGCCCTGAACATCCCAGTGTGTGTGTGTGTGTGTCCACAGCACCCCAGGCTGAGCCCTGCTACGGGCTTAGCACCTGCCTCCCACTGTCTGTGTGCACCCTCTTTCCCAGACAGCCCCTGGGGCAGCAGATTTCTTGAACGTCACTGTACCCTCAGTATCACAGCACAGTGCCCGGCCTGGCACTGGTAAATAATTGAATGGACACAGGATGTGCCTGTACCCATTCCCACCTGGCTGTACCTTCTCCAACCCCCAATTCGCTGCATGATTGGAGCACACACCCGGGTACTGACAAGCCAAGCACCTGGCCACTGCTCCTCATCCTTGTAGCCACTGAAGTCTTCCCTAATAGTAGCAGTGACCTTAGGTGTTTTATCCTCTGGGTCCCCAAGGAGGAAAAGAACCAGGGTCAGGTATGTGAAGTGATCATCGACTTTCCAGTCCTCAGGTAGGAGGTGTTAATATGCCAAAGGTGCTAACTTATAAATGAACTCCAGAAATTACACTTGGCAAGAAAGTATAAATTAAAGCCTACCAAAAAACAGAGCATAAAAATTCACGTGTATAATCAACCAGCTTCTTCTTTGCTTCTCTTCAACATACACAACAGAAAAAAATATCTTAATGTGTCTATACTCTTACAGCAACCCAGGTCCCAGATACTCTGTCTTTAGAGATTTACTCCCTAGGGTTAAGCCAGCAAATACATGGCACATATCCTACTTATGCTATTGAAAGATGTTGCTTAATAATCACACCACATTTTCTTGGTAGGGCCTCAGATCTTTCTCAACACAGTGCTCCAGACATCAACTACCAGTAGGTCTCCAGCTTAAACCCTGTTCTCTAAAAGTGTCCTTTGTTAAAATACAGAAGAGGCCCCAGAGGCTGGAGAACAGTGTAGAGCACTGAAGTCTTGGGGTAGATTTATTGGGTAAGCGCTTTCTTCAAGACAGGAGAAGTAAGAAACACTTTGGGCACTCGGGGACAGAGGGGTGCGGAAGGATGGGAGTAGACGCTGCAAAAGGAAGGAAGGGCTAGGGAGGAACCAGCACCTAAGTTCTGGGCACCAAGCTTACTTGCTCTAAGACAAACGCTGGCGGAGTCCATGAAGCGGACACTGTTGGGGCCCAGGTCCTCTGGAATGGTTCTTTCTCTTGGCCTCCGCCCCTGACAGAACACTGTTACTGGATTAACTCCCTGGATTAACTCCCCGACCCCGTGTGGGGGGCTTCCACAGACCACCACACAAGAATAGCTTACGTGATCTAGAGAAGGAGCATTGATTAGCTTCCAGTCTGCAGGTCCTGTGCTCAGCATGCCTCTTTCAGTAGGAGAGATACCACGGCGCTGAGTGAGAAGACTACACAGCAGAAAGGAGGTTTCCAAGTCATCAGGTAAAAGGTCAAGCACATTCCCTTGGTTGTAGACCATTGGGTGGCATTTCTGAGAGTGTCGCCAGGTAGTTGATGATGAAATCTAGACTAGCCACTGAAATCATCACTCATGCAATTGGCCAAATGCCTCTGATGCCAGATGTTGATGCAAATCAGCTCATAATGACACAGGCAACAGGAGTGGACAAACCTAGCACGCTCCACTCGCCAGATGCCTTTTTAGATGGAATGTGTTTAGACCATTCAGCCATTCAAACACTTTAATTGCAAATGGAACCAAAGAGCAACACTTTCTAGGGAAAGCAAGATGTGTAGCTTTGCAATGACTAATTCTACGTGAGAGGGAAAGAGGAGCTGTGCCTTGCTGTGTGCGTGTGCGGGCACAACTACGTGTCCCTGTGCATGGGAGGTTTCCATGAGTATTCAAATCAAACAACAGAAATCCTTCTTACCTGGAGATGTGAAGATAGTTAAATCCCCATTAAACCAAGATAAGGGGATTCAGACAGAACAGTACACTTTCCTGGAGTATATTATTATGCACTTTTCAGGGCCTCGAATGACAAGCCTAAGTTGACTTTCTCTGTGCAATTCTTACCTGCTGATGGAAGCAAGGCTGCCAGCAGTCAACAAGGAGAGTCCTGTCTTCTTTGATGGACAGTGATGTGGCCGGAGGATGACTTCAATCAATGAGAGGGGCAGTATGGAAGTGTGCTGTAGGAGAAAAGATGGCAAGTCCTGGCAGCAGGGTACCTTTCCCCTCCAATACACCTCCTTACACACTGCCAGGTGAAACTTCCCAAAGCTTGCCTTGGATCATGCTTCTTGGATGCCCAAGGACCTACGGTGGCTCCCTATTGCCTGCCATGCTGGCCCCAACTCCTTTGTCTGGCTACTGAAGCTCTTTGCAATGTGCTATCACCCTCTCTGGTCCTGCTTATTGCCCATTGCTCCCCTCCCCTAAAACACACACACACACACACACACACACACACACACACACATATGCACGCACACATACACATGAGTACACACATGCACACGCCCTCCCCTTCCACTAGAACAAGGCTGCTCCTTTACTGCCCTTTGTACTCAGTGTACGTGCTCCCACTGCCACGCTCTTGTTCATGCGTCCTCCCCCCGTGGGCACCGTCTTCTCTCCCTGTGTTCAAACCCCTATGTCTGTGCAGCCAATGCAATCCTCCACCATGCTGTCTCTGAATTTTCCTCTTGCTAATTTCTCTCACTCAGTTCTAGTGCGTTTATATCCTGTGCCATGTAGTCTAGCACTTTCGGTGCATATTCATAAGCTCTGGGGGGGCCACAGAACACGCCCTACCTCGTCTCTGCACTTAGCACCATGTAGCTGAGCTCCGTCCTGCTGAGGGCAGCGGGTGTGAGGGGTGTGTGCGAGCCTTCCTCTGAAACCCCTGTGTCCTCCCCCTCCTTCCCTGCTTCACCCCCTCCTTAGAACCATCTGTTTTCTAGCTCTTCCAAACCCTCCAAACTAGATTTTAAAAATGACATAATCAAGGAAGTAAACCCTTAGGAACAGTGGCATTTTCAGAAGCAAAGACTGCTGGAGCCAGCTCCCCTCTTCATTACGGAAGCTGACCTGGGAAGGGCCACTGGAGTCTGCATGCAAGGTCCTTTCATTGATTGAGAACATTGCTAAAGCCCTTCTGCCACCCTCTGTGCTTATCGGTGACACCTAACAGTGTTATTATAGTATCTTGTATTTTTTATGGTTACAGCCATCATTCCTCCTTCACCCCTCAGCTCTTGGCTGCCTCTTTCACCCACAGTCTCCTGTTCCCGAGCCCCAAGGCAGCTGTGTCAGACCTCAGCTCCAGCAGTTTCTGGAGCTTGGGAATGTCACTGTGCCCCCATGCCTAGCGACGGGGCTGGAACCCTGGGCACTGGCTGTCAGTCACATAAGTCTTATGCTCAAGAGGCAGAGGCTTCCTTCTACCCCGGCTGAGCTAGCCACGGCACAGCCAAGACATGACAACCACCCTCAGAGGACGAGAAATATGACAAGTTTTGAGGGCGCAAGGCTGGGATGAGAAGGACCAAGCCTTACGTATAGGGCATCGCTGGGTGGAGAGGGCCTCCGGGGGTGCCCCGGTCAAGGTCGCAGCAGGGTGGCACAGAGCAACTGAGTATCTTAAGGGCCCTGAGTGTCCCACATTTTGGTAACGAAATGTGGAGGAACGGCATAGCAGACAAACTGTAGCTTTTACATAATTTGATAAAAGTTGGCCCCGACCATACTGACTGGCTAGACAGACAAATGGAAGGACTTCCCAGGCCCACTATCACACCTCGCATCTGTCTTTGGTCTGATTTTAGGCTGCAGCTTCTGGGTCTCTCCCTCCAATAACAGAGCATGGTGTTTCAGGGCACACAGCTTTGAATCTAACCTCAGGCTGGTCACCGGATCTCTCTGAACTTCAGTTTGCCCAGGTATAAAATGGGGACAGTGAATGGCGCATACCCTCTGGGGGTGCTGCAATGGGATGCAGGGAAGGACATGTAACACGCTTAGTCCTTGGCCCAGGAGAGCTTCCGGTGGCATTAGCTACGGTCGTCATTATTAACAGTGTGTCTGTCGTCCTTCATCTCATTGTTGTGCCCAGGGTGGGGCGAAGGCACGGGGCTGGAGTATCCGTAGCCTCAGGTCTTAGATGGACTCTGGCCTGTGGTCCGCAAGAAGCTGTGCCATGAGTTAGCAGAGCCCCCCCGGGCCATCCCACGGCCCCCTCCTCAGCCCACAGCTGGTGCCCACATGCCCAGCTAAGGCCCTGACGACGCCTGGTGACTGCCAGGCTGTTCTCTTCATCCAGAGGCCACCTCTGCAGGCAGGAGGTGGAGCTGTCTGCCCCGTGCAGCCGCCCACCTCTGCCCGCCTTCACTCTGCGGCAGCCAGAAAGATCCAACTTCTACTCAAAACCATTACCAGGCCATTATACTGGCCATTGATCTGACAGATTTTATTAACCCTGCCCTCGATCGGCAGCTCCCGTCCTCTGCTCTAATGATCGTTTGGGATTCCTGTGGAATAATGCAGTGTGTTCGCGTTAGGAGTAAATGAGTCTGCGGTGATTAATGCCTTTACAACAAACAATTCAGGAATGCATGAGTGCTCACCTCTTGGAGCAGCCTGCCCTTTGCAAGTGACATTCAATCGGATTTCCAAATGAATTCTCCCTGATGGCTTCTGGGAAAGGTACTTCAGTGATGTCATTAGTGATGGGCCGTGTAACGCGGCTTTATACTAGCTAAAAGGTCTTTGCAAGAAGCACATTTTCCAGTCAGGGCTGGGGGTAGGAACGAGGAGAGGAGAAAACCTGCATTCTGTGAGCCTTTTGAATACTGAGCTAGTACAAAGCGCCAAGCGTGACGCAATAAACCTCCTGGCATTTCAAATGTACTGGTCTTTCACCTCACGTTGACACAAATCATGTAACCCTTGTCAGACAGCACATATTTCCAAAGAAAGAAAAAAAAAGAAAAGGAAAGAGAAAAATTCAGTAAGAGAAAAGTCAAATATGCTTTCTGCTTCCAAAAAAAATCTAATAATTAGGCTGGGATTGACACAAATTAGAATGCTGCCAAAAATTACTGAAAACAGTGACTCATTCTGTATTTCAATTAACAGTTTCTCAGTTTCCCTTATAAACAGTGAAGCTGACAAAAATTAATTATCTCAGAGGGGGTAAAATATTTCTTTCCAAAGTAAACAAAACATCATGGGCTGAAACAATAGCATGTGTAAACAGAAGGGATGTAGTGAAGCTATCTTTTCTTGTCACTAAAGTCATCATTTTGGTAGATTTTCCTTTCAACGTCTCTTTCCAAATGCACCGGTGATACGGACACCATTGTTCTTCTCCCATCTTTTTCCACTCAATTATACCTTCCCCTCCTGTCCTCCATGTAATGCCCACTTTCATCTGAATATCTTGGAGACAGAATGATAAGCACGAAATATTGATTTAAGTATTAGTTTGATGATTGCACTTTAGCGTCTCTGGTTGCAAAAGAGCCTTGTAGATAAGTATTACTACTAAAATTTACCCATAGAAAATTTTTGCAAGGTTGCATGAATGACAACATGGAAAATAATGACAATGACTTGAGCACTTGTTTGTACTCACCCCGTACCGGTAGATAAGTGGCTGTTGTAAACAATTTCCCTGCAGAGGGGGCTAAATTTACAATGGGCTGCATTTTGCCTGACTCTGGAGAGAGAGGCGAGGCTTAACCGCGGAGATAACCGTGAGCTGACAGGTCTTCATCGCTGTGCTGAAGCTCCCAACACCGAATCCACGAGGCTAGGCTGGTCACACTCTTACCCTGCATTTCCTGGGGGGCTGCGAGCACTTCATTTTCTCCCATAAAGGAAGTTCAGAGAGCCTACACATTTTAAAAATCAGATGATAATATTTACAATGTATGATCTCTGTTTCTTTCCTTTATTTTATTTCCCTGCTATTTATATTTGTGTTGAGTTGACCGAGATAAACAAGCAGCTTCTACCCTCTCAGATCCGTTACCAAGGGGCTTTCTCTTTCAGATGTCGTTTCCAATGATGAGCTTACATAATATCGCCCACTTCATATGTGCCTCAACTCTCTCCTCCTTTCTTCTGTTCAGGCGACATCAGATCTGAATTCCTGATAGTGGCTCTTCCCAAACTGAGATCCTTTCCCCACATCTCTAAGATGACATCTCTGGTTTGTTCGTGGTACTGATGGAGAGAGATTTTTGAGTGAAGTTTTAGTGTGCTAACAAGATTTCTGGGTACATTAGGGGGATTTTTTTTGCTTATGATGTACCAAATATATCATTTTTTATTTCTAAAAAATGGAAGGCTTCACAAAATCTCCTCAGGGACAAATATGGTCAAAATATCAATTAAAACTTAAACATAAATAGAACAGACATGGAAATGGAGGCCAAATAACCCTTAATAGAATGGCCTTGTAGCCAGGCTTGTTATTATACTGCTGGATCATGTTCCTTAAGCCTCAAGACTACATGCAGTAAAGGCTAGCAGTAATAGTTGTTTTGAAAATTCCAGTAAGGCAATCTCTGGTCTTGGTAATACCATCCATTTTCCAGCTAAAAACCGTTTATCTCACTTCTCTCTAATTGTCCCACTGCAGTTTCTGCCTCTGACTCCCTGCAGGGTAAGACAATTGTGATGGTCTTTGACACATTTTGGGGAACATTTTATATGCAAAAGCAGAGACCGTCTGTATTCTCTATGTCCCTTACACTGTGAAAGATACAGTTTTGATTTAAGTAAATCCAGCACGGAAATCCAGAAATGTAAGCACAGTATAGAGCTTCCATCTCTCCAAGACTTTTCTTTTTTAAAAACTCTTCCACCTATGATGCCTATAGAGGAGTCTTTTCAGTCTCAAACACTAAATCTTTAAAGAGAATTGGATTTGTTAAAATTCCCTTTTCCACTTACTAGGAACTCAAGTGCACAGGCCAGACACCACTGTAATTAAAGAGCCAGTGTTAAAGCGCCGGGGGAGGAGGGGATTGGGGAGATAAACCTCCCACAGAAAGATCCACAGACTTCTCTTTGAACCCCACTGTCTACCTAGGTGGGCTCACACAGGTTGCCCAGCCTGCAAACAGAAGTTAAAAACCGAGTCTTCCTCATGGCAAAGAGGAGTGATGTTTGCAATTTACTC